CACATACACACACATACACACATACACACACATACACACACACACACATACATTTTATGAAGAGAGGGTGCTTTTGATTGTTGCAGTTTTTTTGTTTTGGTTTGGTTTTGGTTTTTCAAGACAGGGTTTCTTTGTGTAGCCCTGGCTGTCCTGGAACTAGCTCTGTAGATCAGGCTGGCCTTGAACTCCTGAGTGCTAGGACTAAAGGCATGCGCCACCACTGCCTGGCCCTAAAGAGAGGGTTTTTAAACTGTGTTTAAAAGTTTTTAAAATTGTTATAACAAGATGTACCGGTGTCTGTGTGTGTTGCTAGGAACTGCACACAGAGCCATACACATTGGGTGAGCACTCTGTCCTCCGTCCCATGCTAAATGTACAGCCTATGCCATTTAAGGACATTTAACATCCACACTTTTCAACATCCCATACTTACTCTACCTTTAAATGTTCTGACTCTCTGCCTCATGAATTTGATTACTTTGGGTCTTCAATAATCAATATGAATGCAATCACACAGGATTTGTGTTTAAAACAAATAGGGTCCCAGTGTATAGCTCTGACTGCTCTGGACTCTGTGTAGACCAGGCTAGCCTCTATTTCTGAGATCCTTCTGCCTCCCGAGTGCTGGGATTAAAGTCTGCTCACTCCCAGAGCTGCCAGGTATTGGTCGTTTGTGCCTTGCTTATTTAACTTAGCAGCATGTCTTCCAGGTTCATCTGTGTTGTATCACACATCAGAATTCCCTTCCTCCTCCCTTTAGTTCTGTTTTATGTGTGTGTGCCTTCAGAAGCCAGAACCAGAGTAAAGGCACCATGTGAGTTCTGGGAACTAAGCTCTGGTCCCCCGCAAAAGTAACAAGTGCTCTTAAGCACAGAGCCTTTCACCCCAGCACCTCCTTCATTTTGGGGGACAGAATAAAACTCCAGGTCTTCGTTTGCTGCATTTTGTTTATCTGTTTGCTGATGGACATTGAGGTTGCTTCCCCCTTGGGATTCGGAAGTAGCACTTCCGGTGACATCATTCACTTGTTCCCTTTAAGTGTATACTCAGAAGCCAGACTGCATACCTACTGGAGCTCCTTTTAAATTTAGGAGACCTGTGAAGGTGGTTTGGAGGTGGATTTTGTTGTTGTTACTGTCATTTGATTTGTTTTTGTTTTTTGAAACAGGGTTTTGCTGTATAGCCCAAGCTGGTTTTGAACTCTCAATCTTCCTGCCTCCATTTTCTGAATACTGGGACTTCAATGAATTTATTTTATTTTCATTTTTGAAAATCTTAATTGTGTGTGTGTGTGTGTGTGTGTGTGTGTGTGTGTGTGTGATAGGTGTGTGAGGCCACATGTGTCCTCTGTAGAGATCAGAGGACAGCTTTGTGGAATCAGTTCTTTCTTGCCTTTTTATGCATGTTGCAGAAATCTAGATTTCTATCACTGTGCAACAGCAAGCACCTTCACCCACCAAGCATCTCACTGGCTCCTCAGGGGTTTACTGGTTTGGTAAATTTGCCTGTTTTGTTCATTGATCCATGACCAGAACATAGCAGAGTACACACTCAGTACTTACTGAATTAACTTTTAAATATTTGTTTATTTTTGAGGCAGTTTCATTATGTGGCTCTGCTGCCTCCTGAGTTCTGGGATTAAAGACGTGCACCACTTGACTCCTGGCTATTAGACTGACATTTGGGCATTGAGACATAACTTCTCTGTGGACCCTAACTGACCTTGAGCTCATGGCAATCCTCCAGTCTCAGCCTCACCACTCCTAGCTTAATTTTTTAAATCTCTCTATCAGCCTGGAATCTGAACATAAGAAGTCTGTAAGAGCTTCCTCATAGGGACCCATCCTGATTCATAGTGTTTGCTGTCTCTATTCAGCAACCCCAAAGCAGGCCTTAATAACTTGACCCAATCAAGCCTGGCTGGTTTGCAGCCTCTGTGTGCTCAGGCGTCTCTCAAAACCCCTGCATCAGAGACAGAGATCCGTTACAAGTTCTCTAAGTGCCTCCGGCTGTCATTCATCCTTTTGTATTTGTGCTTCCTGAGCCATTTCCCTTCTCTTCTTCCTGATTTGGAGACAAGGCTTCATTATGTAGCCCACACTGGTCTCAAACCATCTCACAGTCCTTCCCCCAATGGCTGGAATTACTATCCTGTGTGTCACCACGCCCTGCTCAGCTTCTCTTCTCTTGATCCCCCCACTTCCTCATGTCCCGTGACTCCTGCTGCTCCCTGCTGAAACAGTCATTCTCTGTTTGGAGACAGAGACAGACCCCATACCTTCAAGTCCACACTTGAACCCTACACCCCTTCCCTTGCCTATTCCAAATATAACACTTTTGAGACTGTCCTTGTAATTTGTCTGCCTCCCTGAGCTGCATGGAGCTTCCTGACTCTGTTCTTCCTGTCTCTGGCAGCTTCTAACCTGGACATTTTTGCTAGGAAGCTTGAAAGTACATTTATTTTGTAAATGACTCACATTTTGAAATCGCACTGGAAATGAGAGGATTACAGGAAACACAGGAATGGGTAGCCAACTCCCTCAAGTTGTCTTCTGACCTCTCATAAATTAAGTCGATCTCTTCGAGTTCACCGCCAACGTGGTCCATAGAGAGTTCCAGGACAGCTAGGGCTTTGTAGAGAGGCCCTGTCTCACCCCACCTGGCCCTCCACCTCAGGTTGGCTTGGCCTAGGGGCTGGAAGGCACCTTCAGTAGCACATCTCTGTCTGCTTTTCTGTCTTGGGACCAAGGGCAATTCATGAAGCTCTGATTGGCCTCTGTGAAAAAAAGAGCCCTCAACACTCTTGACCTGCTTTTGTCCCAGCTCATAGCAGACAGTGTCACTTCACCTGTGCACTGTGGCCCTAACAGGAATCCTGTTCCCACCTGCTGTTCCTTTGACATGGACTCTACTGAGAACTGCCATTTCCAGTCCCAATCCTGATGCTATCAAATGTTGCTTCCTTGGAAGTCGCCCCTGGCAGGAACTCCAGATCAGTACCCGCTGGTACCCTATTCCAAGACTGTTAAAAGTGCAGAGCCTACCCTAGAAGTAAAAGGTGTAGCAGGCTTGCTTTAAGACCACCAACCAGCTCCCAAATAAAGACACAGAGATTTAATATTAGTAATGAATGCTTAGCTTTATCTTATGCTTGTCCCACTAGCTCTTATAACTTATTTTAAACCTGTTTTTCTTTATCTACATTTTGCCTCGGGGCTTTTTACCTTTTTTTTTTCCCCTTCATTCTGTATGTCCTATTCTGTCTTGCTGGCTGGCAGCTGGTGGTTGGCCCGGTGTATGTCCCTATCTTTCTCCTTTGTTTTCTCCTCTCATTCTCTTCTCTCCAGCTTAGATTTCTACTCCTATTTTTTTCTCTCTGTCCACCAGCCCCACCTATAGCTCTGCTGCCTAACTATTGGCTGTTAAGTTCTTTATTACACCAATCAGGTGCCTTAGGGCAGGCAAGGTGAAACAGCAACACATCTTTACATAGCTAATCAAATGCAACACACCTTTATGCAGTTAAAGTAATAAATACTCCACAATGAAAAAGTTTGGGGCAGGGTACTATATTATTGTTTATAATAATGTTTATAAAAATTATGTAGGACTTGGGAGATGGCTTGGTGAGCACAAGCACCAGGTCCCCAGAACCTGGGTAGAGCCAAATGCACAGTGTACAACTGTTTTGCTTTAGACAGGTCCTCACTAGCATTGGCTGACCTGGAACTCTCAGAGGTCCACCTGCCTCTGTCTCCTGGCAGTAGCATGAATGTGTTATCTCAACACTCCTGTAGTAAAATGGGAAGTGAAGACAGAATTCCCAGAGGGCCAGCTAGCCTGGCATAGGCAACAGAGAGCAAGAGAACCTGTGTCAAACAGAGGAAAGTGAGAATAGATACCAGAACTTGTCCCCTGTCTTCCACAGTGCATGTGCCAAAATTCACAAATGTGCATACATACAGACAAGTAAACCCCACATACAAGATTAAAGAGTATGTAGCACATGGGAAAAATGTATCTTGATATTGCATGATATAAACATATGCAAACACATTCGATGCATTCCTTATAATGCTATGTCCTTGCATCACTATGTCACAGCCCTATAAACTAGATACTTTAGCATCTGTTAGCATCCAAAGTGACTGATGCTGGCAGCGGTTAGGTGATGTGTTTTACCCAAGGGAGTACAGCTTGTAAAGGACAGAGGTCACATTTGAAAGTCAATCAGCCCAGGCTCAAAAGCCCCTACTCTCTTGTTTTGTATTTGAGACAGAATCTTCCTGTACAGGTCAGGCTAGCCTGGAACTCTGTGTACCATAGGAGGACCTTGAATAATTGTTCTCAGCCCCAAGGGATTACAGGCAACTGTTACTACACCTAGCAAAAGGCAAACGTTAACCCCCTTCATCTCCTTTTTTTTTTTTTAAGACAGAGTCTCACTGTAAAGCCCTGACTGTCCTGGAATTCACTATGTAGACCAGGCTGGCCTTGAACTCACAGAGATCCACCTGCCTCAGTCTCCCACGTGCTGGGACTAAAGGCATGCACCACTACGCCAGGCTCAAGCCCATTTTTAACCATTGTTGTTAGACAGAGAGAAATTCATCAAAATGTTGCTTTTGGAAATGGTTTGTTTTCATCTCTGTTCCAGGATTTTCTGTTTGGAGTTACAATAGACACTAGTTGATGAACTTTTTTTTAATCTTTATTTTATGCATATGAATGTTTTCCCTGTGTGTCTGATGGTGTAGTCTGTGTGTGCTTGGTGCCCAGAGGCTGGAAGTTCAGATCCTCTTAAACTGGAGTTACAGATGATGGTGAGCCACTAAGTGGGTGCTAGGAATAATATCTAGGTCCCCTGGAAGAGCAGCCAGTGCTCTTAACCATTGAGCCATCTCTCCAAGACTAGTTGAGTTTTTGAACAGGGCAGGTGAAGTGACAGGATGGCAAAGACAAAGTACTCACTGTTTCCTTCTCCACCTTCAACTTCCCAGAACTGATGACCACACCAGTTCTTCAGGTCCAGGAGACCCTGTCCCCACAAGCTGAAGAGGCCAGCACAGCACTCATTGCAGGTAACAAAGCCAGGGGCCTCTGGTTCAGAGACCCTGGAACCCAGAGTGACAGCTAAGGGTTTCCCTGTATAGGAAACAGCACATCAGGGACCAACTCCATTACTGAGCTCCTTCTAGCATATAGGTCTCACCTGTGCAGAGCTGTGAGCAATGCAGACACGAGACCAATAAAGCAATAGATTCGGAGTGGCCATGAACAGGCCCTGTCGAGTGTGGATGCTCAGCTGGAGTGCGTGGGTCGGAAGAAGGGTACATGTGGTTTGTTGAGTGGGTGAGGAAGAGCAGGCGAACCAGAGAAACTCTCATAGGAAGCTATGTATTTAAAACACCCTTCCTGTTGGCATAAGCTATTTATTTCCCTCCTGGTTTCTAGCATAATCATCAGGAACTGGTTTGGGAGGGAGTTGAGTTTTGTCAGAAATCCAAACACTGTGTCGGTAGCAAGATACCAAGAGGCCCTGGATGCCATATCCTGGGAAGCTGGGTTTGAGGGGACCCCACTGGAAGTGATGGCCTAATTCAAGTGGCCTAGTGAAGTGCTAAAACACATCTCCCTCTCCCTTCCTAGTCGTTATCACCGTGGTGTTCCTCACCCTGCTCTCTGTGGTGACCTTGATCTTCTTTTACCTGTACAAGAACAAAGGCAGCTACGTCACCTATGAGCCTGCAGAAGGCGAGCCCAGCACCATCCTCCAGATGGAGAGTGACTCAGCCAAGGGCAGAGAGAAGGAAGAGTACTTCATCTAATGATCCCCAGACTGGAGGGGCCAATTCTTGGCTCCAGTGCTAACATATTGACTCTGTAATTAGGGAACGTTTGCTCTGAAGCCAGTGAGTGGCATTGAGTGAGATGGCAAATCCACTCACATCCCAGGACACAGTCCCCAAATACCAGCATCAGCGACTCCAGGGTCCAGGGACACAGAGAAAGCCGCTTATGACACCTATAGCCGGGCCTTGGTAAGGACAGTGCTCACACCTGGCCAACAACATGGGGCCGTGCCTGAGTTGGAAGTGGGAGATGGTGGAGGGGAGGTCACAGGCTGGTCCACTTTGTCCCCTCCCTAGTTGCATAGTGATAGCCCCAGTGTAGCTTCTTAGAGGCTAGATACCACAGGAGGGGATCAGGCCAGGGGGGATAGGCTTCTCAATGTTACCTCTTTTGATCTGAGTCCTACTATCCCCCCCCCCAACAGCCTCCAATTTACTGTTTTTTATCCAGATTAAATTTATGAAAGTCAGATTTTCATTTACAAGAACTAAATTTTGGCTTGTTTTTGCTTAAAGTTTTTACAGCATTATCTCTGCTTATGTAACTCTATGTGTTGTCTCTCCGTAAGAACTCTTGAGGGATGTACTCAAGTTCCCAGAACTGTCTCAGGGGTTTGTCCCAGATTAGCATCAACTGTCCTATCAGAAACACATGAGGACTAAGTGGATTTGACCTTAATCTTCGCAAGGGCTGCGATTTCTCAGATCCCTGTGTATATACAGAGGGAGCCAGGAAAAACCTGGCCACCTAAATTTCCCACCAATAAGGCTTTCTTCTTTCTTTCTCAAGACAGGGTTTCTGTGTACCCTGGCTGTCCTGGAACTCACTCTGTAGACCAGGCTGGCCTCAAACTCTGAGATCCACCTGCCTCTGCCTCCCAAGTGCTGAGATTAATGGTGTGCTCCACCACTGCCTGACCAGGCTCTTTTCAACCCAAGCCCTTGGATACTCTGGAATTAAGCTAGCCTTCATTCTGAGGTATTAAACTCTTACCCGATATTAGCAGTGTAAATTTCCAGAAGCTTTGGTTGGTTGGCTTTTGCTTTGTGGGTTTGTTTGAGACATGGTCTTACTAGTTATCCCAGGTAGACATCTTTCCTCAGTCTCTAGAGTAAGGGATTGGCCAGCCTGTTTTCAGTATTTCTCCACATAGAACTTTGTGTACAGATTGCTAAGATCTTTTCCTTGATGAAAACCTTAGAGGAAATGAGAACTCACTGCCTAGACTAGAGTGGCTTTAAGCTCACAGGGTTCACATGGCTCTGCCTTCCCACTTCTGGGATTAAAGTTGAGCGCCAATACGGTCAGAATCGATGTTTCATTTCTAAGTTCATGTTTTGAATCCCAGAATCACCTCTAGTGGAACTCATGAGAACAGCCAAACTGAAAATCTAGCTTTACACATTTACATTTGTTTCATAGACACCATTAAAGAAACAGCAACAGGATTATCTAGTTCATTTTGGGGTGGGATATAAAAGACCTGACATATATGAAGACATGTGAACACATGCTAAGTAAAGAATGCCTAGAGTGTGGTGTAATGCAACTTCATCACTTTATTCAAATCTTCAAAATAGTCTTTATTCTACATTTTTAGTATAAAAAATCCACAAGTTAAGTGCACCACAGTGTAGAGAGACATACAACGCTGAACTTCCATAACAGTCGATGGTACAGTCAAACATCACATGTACAGAACACAAGATTTAGATGAACTGAAATATCAGATAAAATAAAATAAAATCCAATCTCGGAAAACAAATCAAAATATTAAGGATCCCTGAAATATTAATCCTAATGAGATCTCACTGGACTCAAGTCATTTCATAGTGAGGCATTCACATGACCCTACTAACTAACCCATCACAGGAAACTCCTGGAACTGGAGAGGCTGTACTAGACACTCAGAAAATGAAAACCAGGTTTTGATCTGAAACGCCCCTTAATTTGGCTTTAAAGCCAAGCTTTTGATGTGCATCTTCTTTGCCTGTCACTTTTCAAGAAACTTTTTCTGAGACAGTTTGCACTACTGAACTGTTGTTTAAGTTCAGGTTCTGGCACCACAGCACGTCTGGGTTCATGGTGATGCAGAGACTGTCTATGAGGTGGGTCCAAAAGGTCCTTCACCTTCTCCTGGATATATATGAAACCCAAAGAAATGGGGTTTGTGCTCGGGGCACAGAGGGAGGGGGGGCTTTAGAGGATCCTTAGGAAAGACAAGTTAAAAAATGGCAAGTGGGACAGGTGCAAGGCGAAAAGAGGCTGAGTGACTGGCTTTCTGTCCTGCACCACTGATTCAATGGAGACTAAAGGAAAGGGATGAAAGACAAAGGACAGAGAGGGCCGGTGGGGCAGATGATGGGAGGAAAAAGGCAGACAGCTAATGCGATTCATGTAACAACTACTATAAATCAAAGACTTAAAGGAGATTAAAGACCAATCAGAATAATTTGGCAACTTTAATTCTTAGGAAGATCAAAGTTCCCTCCAAACCTAATTTGATGTTTTATTACTAAAAGCGAAGACCAGTATGGTACAGTATCACTCCAGAGGAATTAAGGAAGAGCCTCGGGGCTGCTTCACTCACATTCATTTGAAGAATGGATGCCTCCCTACCTCAAAATGCTTTAGGGAGGGACTGCTACCCTTACATGGTTCCTTATTAAATTTGAAAAGTGCCTCAAAGTTTGGACACCAGAAAGACACCCCAAAAACATGTGTCTAAACTGCAACTTCAGGTTAATATGACTAAAGCAGTTACATTGTGAGAAGTGCTGAAGGTATGTGATGTCTTTCCCGGCACAGGAGTGGCCACGGTTCTTCACCAAATGGTGTAGCCACCATCTGAGCCACCCATGAAGAAGTTTCCCTTGCGCTGAGTTACAAGGACGTTGGCTCCCTGCATGACTGCAAGCTGAGCAGCGTTGGGAGGGCATCCAGGAGGTGGAGGCTAGAAGGAAAGGACAAGGTACAGTGGGCACAGGGAAGGAGCACATGGGAAGCAGATGCCTCTGGAAGGTGGCGATGTGCCAACTAGTAACTTCTTTTTTTTCTTTTGCAGGGCATGGGGTGGGCTGACCGAGGGTCTCATTGTATAACCCTGACTTGCCTGCTTCTTGCTATGTAGCCCAGGCTGATCCCTGCCTCAGCCTCCCACTGTGGTATTACAGGCATATGCAACCACACTGGGCAACCAGCATTTTAAGGAGTTAAGTTAAGCTTGAGTTCTTTTTTTTTTTTTTTTTTTTTTGATGCAAACAGCAAGAGGCTTTACTGTAGTTGTTTAACGAGCTAACCCCATTAGCCTGGGCCTTTCATCCATCCACCATGGCGGATGACTGGGAAAAGACCCCAAGAAGCCATGGGACAAAGATCTTATAGGTCAGCGTAAGGGGAGTGTCTAGGGGTATGCACAGGCTCAGGATTGGTGTGCCTCGAGGCTTGGAGGACTTGCCCTGAGTTGACTGGCCAACTGGTTGTTATGGCCCATAGGCCCTCCCAGGGCGGTTGATAGCTTGAGTTCTAAAGCAAGTCACTGCCTGTGAATCCAGTCAGGAAAGGAACCCGTCACTCACCAGTGTTCCCACCCTAAGATGCAGCCATCCTTCCCAGGAGAACCACTCCACCCCACATTTGTTGTCAGCCAAAGACAGCCCGTGGGATCTCTTGTGGGGCCATGCTTTTGTTCATGGGGAGAGCCCTCTGTACACCTAAGCATATGCTCTACCACGGGGATTACACCTCAGCAACTCCATATTTGTAACACAACACTGTAATATTTAAGAGCCAATGATGACACACAACACTCCACTTTACTCTAGAATGTGGCTCCTGACAAGATGGCCCTTGCTAGAACCAGCTGGGCTACAAAACCCATATACTGGAATTTTCAGCAGGGGACCTGGCAACTAATATCTACTTACTAGGGATTATACATTCCACTCTTAATCACCTGGGTACCTAGTCCATTTCACCCTCATGTCAGGTATTATGTGTGTATGGACTCAATAAGGAACATTCACTGCGCCTACACTGATGAAAAAGGAGCTAGCAGGGTTTTGGTTTTTCGAGACAGGGTTTCTCTGTGTAGCCCTGGCTGTCCTAGAACTCACTCTGTAGATCAGGTTGGCCCTGAACTCAAGAGATCCAGCTGCCTCCTGAGTACAAATATTAGAGGCATGCACTATCTGGCTACCCAACAGTATCTTAATAAGGCAAGAAAAAAAAATGAGTGATTAATTCCAAAACCAAAGGATATGTCCGATGCCCTCATACACTTTCTACCAATGAGGTGGCAGCTGTTGTGTCAACCCTGACTACTATGGTCCAGAAATGGTGGGAGAATGAATATTTCAAAAAGTTCAAGTATACAAGGGCTGAGCTTCCAGTTAAGCCATACTCACAGGAATGTTGCCGGCGGCAGCGCCAGCTCCAAATCTGGCACCTGCATCATATCCTCCTTCCACCAGCACTGCTGAGCCAGGTGGATAGATGGGACCAACTGGATAGTAAGCCATGGGGATTGTGGAGCCTAAAGGCCCAACAGCCACAGACTGGGCCATAGGCAGATACAGAGAGGTGCCAGGGAATGCAGCTGACATAGTAGGGACTGTGGCAGCCCCTGGATGAACAAAGCTTGGACGATAGAGCTAAAAGAAGCAGAAGAGAAGGCAACATGTTAATACATGACATTCCTATTTGAAATCTCTATTGTGTCTTGTTAAAACCATCTCCTGTGTCTTTGCTCTGTAGTGGAGGATGACCTTGAACTCGATTCCCCCTACCCCACCCCCCATGCCACCAAACCCAGTTCACACAGTGCTGGGGATCAAATCCCAGGCTTAGTGCATGCTAAGCAAACACTCCACCAAATCAGCTACATCCCCAGCCCTTTGTTAGTTTAAAGACATGGTTTGGTTATACAGCCCAAGACAGCCCTGAAGACAGGATCTTCCTGCCTCAGCCTCCCAAGTGCTGGAGCTACCAGCCTGTATCACCATGCATGGCTCAAGAGTCCATTCTTAGTTCTTCGAATGTTTGTTGTAGATTGCACACTATGTTACAGTCACTGGCACACAGTGGTCTCCTGGGTCATCTGCTGCCACAGCTACTCCTGGGCTCAAGGGACCCAACCTCAGCATGTGTCAAATACCATAATCAGATAACATACCTAATTCCAATGGTAATTACCAACTTATGTTTTATATTATCCAGAGCACCCTTCTGTTTGTGAAGTTAGAGGTCAAGACTGAACAAGGGGGTCCAAGAGTGTTCTCAACTAGTCAAAAGTCTGGCGGACTGCTGTAGTACCTCTGAGTATGCAGGTGGAGCATCAGTGTAGGGTGGAGCCTGAGGAAGATGTAAGGTCTGAGGATATACTGGATTCCCAGGAGGCTGCACAGGGTAGGTAGGCTGTGTTGGATATTGTCCTGGAATACACAAAGGGGGAGGTGGTGGGGGTGCTGTCTATGAAACTGGGGAGTGGCAGACAGGAGAGGTGGCTCAGTGGTTAAGACAAAGTGCTGCTCTTCCTGAGGACCCAGGTTCTGTTCCCAGAACCCACATTTAACACTCATAACCTCCTTTCAACTCTAGCTCCTGCCTCTGAGCACCTGCACGTTCATATTCACATGTCCACGCAGACAGACACAAAATTAAATAAAAACAAATCTGTAATGTAAACAGAGCCACGAGTTGTGGCAGACAGCCCCGGGTAGCAAACATGGTGGGGGCAGGCAGGAAGCTACAGACTGGCTACCACACAGGGTCAAATTTCTGGGAGCCCAGAAAATCAGGGCTGCCTGCATCTTCACGGTTCTGACTGGGTAGAGAAGGCGCTGTTCCCACTGGCATACTGATGTCGGAATCAAGCCTAACTTGGCCATGTTCCCTCCCCAATGAAGGACAGGTCTGGGGGACCGTTCCCGAGATTCTGGGCTGCTGGCCTCTTAAGGGACCTCTACTCTGGACTGTACCTCCACAGTCTGGACTGTTGTCACCAGTCCAGACTCTGTGGTACCCATGGGTTCCGAGTGTTTTACCTTACAGAGATTTCTACTCAAGGTCGACTTTCCAAGGAGTGAGTGAATGGGAGTTAACCGTGGAGAGGGCGACGGATGAGGTGTAAGCGCGACCATGTCCTGACGGACACTGGCACGGGGACGGGGACGGTTAGAAACCCTGGCCCTGAGGAGGAAGGCCGACACGGCCAACAAGGAGAGCGGGCACAGGGACCTTGCCGGCCAGGCCGTGGCCGTGCCGCACGGCCGGCACCTCACTAGTTAAGCCCCGCCAAG